TGTTCTTTTTTTTTTTAAAGATTTTATTTATTTATTTGACAGAGAGAGAGAGACAGCGAGAGAGGGAACACAAGCAGGGGGAATGGGAGAGGGAGAAGCAGGTTTCCCTCTAAGCAGGGAGCCCTATATGGGGCTCAATCCCAGGATCCTGGGATCATGACCTGAGCCTAAGGCAGACGCTTAACGACTGAGCCACTCAGGCGCCCCTCCATTGTTCTTATTTATCTGCTCTTGTACCACTACTACACTGTCTTGATTACTCTAGCTTTATAGTAAATCTTGAAATTTGGTCATACTTAAACATTGTTCTTCAAGTTATCTTGGCTATTCAAGATCCTTTCCATTTCTATACAAATTTTTAGAATCAGCTTGTTGATTTCTGTTAAAATACATCTGCAGTTTTGACTGGGAGATCATTGAATCTGCATATTAATTTGTGAACATTTATATCTTAATACCTAAATTCTTCAAATCCATGAACATGGCTTATTTTTTCTTTTATATTGGTCTTCTTTAACTTTTATTAGCAATGATTTGATGTTTTAATGTAGAGATTGAGCAGATTGAGTACTTTTCAGATTTATTTCTAGATGCTTTTTGTGTTGTTTTAAATGGCATATTAAGTTCAATTTCAAATGTTTTCTTGCTATTTTATAGAAATCCAATTGATTTTTGTATTCTTATCTTGTATCCAGTGACCTCATTAATTCATTATAATATTTTCTTTGTAGATTCTTTCGGATTTTCTGTAAACTCAGTCATATCATTATTCTTTTTTTCAAATTTTAAAACATTTTGTTTTCTTAACCTAATGCACTGGCTCCACTTACCTCCAATGTAGTATTGAATGGAAGTGATAAAAGTGAACATCTTGCATTTTCCTCAAATTCAGGGGGAAAGTGTGAAATATTTCACCATTAATTATGACATTAGCTTTCAGTTTCATGGAGCTATTCTTTATCAGATTATGGAAAATCCTTCCATTACTAGTTTGCTGAGAAATTTTATCATAAATGGTTGTGAAATTTTTAGATTTTTATATATTTTTGGATTTAATTTACTACTATTTTGTTTAGAGAATATTTGTACCTATGTTTTTGAGAGACTGACCTTCAAAGGAGTCATGGTCAACTCTTTAGCTTCCTATGCCAGGAAGCCTCAAAATCTGACAAATGTCCTAAGTGGAGAACCAGTCTTGTGTCTGTGGAAGTCTCCTTCTAGAATGATTTTATCTTCTGTTCACTTTGATACTGCTATAGACTTTACTCTGCCTTTCTGTCCCAGGCCCCTAGCCTCTGGAGCTATCCCAGAACATTAAAAAGGCCTTGCATTGGGGCTCCTTTATTTTCAAATATGTCATGTCAGCCTCACATGAATACCAAAAGTTTTGTTGGCCTCTTTTGGTAATTAGAACCTCAGGCTCATACTCAGAATCCACAAATGCCCCCAGACAAGAAGATGGCCTATGGTGTTAGATCACTTTGGAAAAGTTCCTTCCTCTTTTAAATTTTAGATAATCTAATTTCCATTTTTTTCAAAGCTCTTCCTTTTTGTTTGTTTGTTTATTGCAGTGGGAGAAGTGGCTTTTTGCAATTTACTAAATCCAGAATCTCACTTCACCTCTTTAGATCTTGGTTTTCTCAAAAGAGTTGTTCTTGATAAGCCTTAAGGTCTCTAGAATTTTCATAGTGGGACTTCTAAAAATATTATCTCCCTACACCAACTTGGAATGTAATGATATTTAACAAATGTATTAAATATGACAAGGATGAAAGATAATGTCTGTTCCTGGATTTTAGCATCAATAATTTTATAAAATAATTAAATATAACTTAGGATGACATAACTAGATTTCCATGTTTTAAGAATAAATATAATGAGTGTATTATTTTGTTCTTTAATCAGGTTTCAAATGATCTTATTTGGTCAAGTATGTCATAATATTTAACAGTCTGATTTATATTTGTCAGAATATATCACTTTAGGCATCAAATATAATAACTTCTTTTTTTCCCTCCATTCTTTTCTATGCACAGTCATTGAACCAAAGAAACCATGAAGTTCACAGTTCATCATGTCAGTTTCCAACATCAACTGATGTAACTGGTGATGTTGGTACTGATCTAACTGGGGTCTGCACCAACACGGGGACCCTTGGACACTCAGAATTTCCAAACAGAGAATTCCAACATTGTCAGGTAATGTTTGGGGCAACACTGTTTCTCCAGGTTATGATGTAATCTACATGGAAATGCTCTTGATCTAATATTTTGGAGGAAAAGCATCCAGTCAGTTAACATTACCATTATTCTTCTGAAAATCTATAACATCCTTTGAACATGTCAAGTCACTGAGAAGGAATGCAGAAGAGATTGATTTATGGGAGTCTTCATTTATTATCTTTGGGCTCTCTTATTTGGTGCCCTGAATTCCCTCAGCCTTGGTACCCAGTGCCTTTGCACTGCTCCTGATTGCCTGTGAGCATCGCTCACAACACCTAAACTGGGGTTTATTGTCTGAAACAGAGTCCCATTTTTTTTTTTTAAGATTTTATTTATTTATTTGAGCCAGAGAGAAAGAGAGAGAGAGAGAGCACATGAGAGGGGGGAGGGTCAGAGGGAGAAGCAGGCTCCCTGCCGAGCAGGGAGCCTGATGCGGGACTCGATCCTGGGACTCCAGGATCATGACCTGAGCCGAAGGCAGTCGCTTAACCAACTGAGCCACCCAGGCGCCCCAGAGCCCCATATTTTGGGACATTTAAGAGCTACTCTGCATGCTTCAAAGACTTTTCTAACCCTAACCCTAACTCTGTGTTTCCTTTAGTGATCTGTCTTCAGTCATAAGAAAGGGGATAATAATGAGCTAACTAGTGAAACCAAATGTTTCTTTGAATACTTAGTAAGTGCTAGGAAAATGTTACGCATACAGTTTTATTATTTACTATTTACATCAACCCTGTGAAATAGGTGATGTCATCCATGTGAGGGCATCGAGGCTTTGCATGATAATGCAAATTTCCAAATGCCACTGTCTATCGGGTGAAAGGTGGACTTAAATTTAAACCTGAATCTGTTAGACTCCAGTGCCTATGCTCTTAATTACTACAGTGTACTGCCTTCTGCAAAAATCTAATTATAGAGGAATTTCTTATTCTAATTTTCTCAACAACGGGGCACCTGGGTGGCTCAGTCATTAAGCATCTGCCTTCAGCTCAGGTCGTGATCCCAGGGTCCTGGGATCGAGCCCCACATCGGGCTCCCTGGTAGGCGGGAAGCCTGCTTCTCCCTTTCCCTCTCCCCCCTGCTTGTGTTCCCTCTCTCACTGTGTCTCTCCCTGTCAAATAAATAAATAAAATCTTTAAAAAAAAATTAAAAAATGAAAATACATTTAATTTTCTCAACAACACATTCAGGTAGATATTATTATCCCCAATTTTGATATAAGTCAAGCTGATACTTAGACAAATTAAGAAACTTGCTCAAAATATTAAAGGTATGGGATTTAGATTCAAGACTCTCTGATCTTGGGCGCCTGGGTGGCTCAGTTGGTTAAGCAACTGCCTTCAGCTCAGGTCATGATCCCAGAGTCCTGGGATGGAGTCCCGTGTCGGGCTCCCAGCTCAGCAGTGAGCCTGCTCTTCCCTCTGACCCTCTCCCCTCTCATGCTGTTTCTCACTCTCTCTCTCAAATAAATAAATAAATAAATAAATAAAATCTTAAAAAAAAAAAGGCTCTCTGATCTCAAGTCTTACATGTTTTAACACTATGCAATATTTCCTCTACAATAACAAATTATGTATGCATAGTACTTTAGACTTTACAAAAGTAAATTTACTGACATTAATTCCTTATTCTAATTTTATTATATGAGTTTTTATGGATGAAAGAGTAGGATCACAGAAACATCTTACCGAATAAAAATAGCTGGTGGTAGCAGAAAATGGATTTTATAAGTGTTTTCAGACTCTGAATTTCATGCTGCCAAATACTAACCTGTATGAAAAGTTAGCCAGAAAATTTGATAAGGCATTAATTAATGCTGTTAAAGTAGAAGGATCCAAAGCAGACAAATTTATGAAAGGCCCAAAGGGGAAGAAAATTTAATCAGATCTTTGGAGTCCCTCATATCAGTCTGCCACAGTCATCCACACATGTATAGATAGTTCTTTTGACAGTGGGAAGAATAAGGAGTTTCCAAGAAGACATTTATTATTTTTCTTAGTTTGAAATGCAGATATATGAAAAGAAAGCATGAAAGTCAGTGGAAGTTTCTTTGTTCCTATATTAAATACAGTATAAGGACAAAGTCTTTCCTAAATAAAAACTTAAATTTAAGTCAATATTTCTTACTGATACTATTAAGATAGTTTCTTACATTTATACATCCTTTAAATGAAGTGATCTATATATAAAAAGAATTACTGAAGGCATTAGTTTTGCTTGAGACATTTGGTTTCATTTGCAGTAATCTTATTTAAATCCTTTCTAGGTGACACGAAATTTCTTCAGTGACTGGTCTCTTTGGAGAATCTTCCTGGCTTGTCTCTTAGCCTGTGCACTAACAACAACCATCGGAGTACTCATAGAGTGTCTGGTGTATAATAGGAAAAATAATAATGCCTCCATTACTATTCAGCTCCCTCAAAACCACGGGACAACTTCATCTACTAGTTCTGAAACGACAGTACCTATTACTATAACACATTCTACTGCAACATCTGATTCCACTACCATCACTACGACCACTGCTAGCACTTCAACAGAACCAACTAGTACAAAAACTACTGCTTCTGCTGACACTATAATAGCAGCAGCCACCACTACAACTTCTACCACTTCTTCTGAACATAAAACAACGGCAGGAACAAACACTTCGACTAAACCAAATACCACAATGACTCCCAGCAATACCACTGAGGTGAAAACCACAATAGCCACTACTGTTGCTTCTGCTGAACCTACAACCACAGCAACAGTCACCAATTCACTTGAACTCCCTACCACAAAGATTGCCAGCACAACCACTGAGGCTACAACCACCACGGCACCACTGCTCCCTCTACAGAACCTACAACCACCACAACCACCAGTACTCTCTCAATCGAACCTACAACCACCACAGCAGTCACCACATCATCAGTACCAACTCTCACAACAATTGCTGGCACTGCTGCTGAGTCTACAACCACCACAGATACCACTATAACTTCTGTGGAACTTATAACCGCTGTGGCCACCACTGTAACTTCTACTGAACCTAAAACTACCATGGTCACTACTACAACTTCTATGGAACCTACAACCACAGTGGCCACCATTACAACCTCTACTGAACCTACAACCACCATGGCCATGACTACAACTTCTAGCAAACCCACAACCACAATGGCCACCGCTCTTGTCTCTAGTGAACCTATAGCTACCACAGCAGCTGCCTCAGCATCTGAACTGACCACCACAGTAACTGCCAGCACTACCAATGAGGCTACAAGCACCACAGACACCACTATAACTTCTGTTGAACCTACAACCACCATGGCCACCACTACTGTTTCTACCAAACTTACCACCACAACAGCAGCCGCCACAGCATCTGAACCGACCACCACAATAACTGCTAGCACTACCCCTGAGTCTACAACCACCACAGATACCACTAAAACTTCTATGGAACTTAAAACCACTGCGGCCACCACTGTAACTTCTACTGAACCTAAAACCACCATGGTCACTACTACAACTTCTACAGAACCTACCACCACAGTGGCCACCATTACAACCTCTACCAAACCTACAACCACCACAACCACCACTATTGTTTCTACTGAACCTATAACCACCACAGCCGCCACCACAACATCAGAACCCACTACCACAATAATTGCCAGCACTACCAATGAGGCTACAACCACTACAGATACAACTACAACTTCTACTGAACCTACAACCCCCACAGCCACCACTATAACTTCTACTGAAGGTACAACCACCATGGCCACCACTACAACTTCTACCAAACCTGCAACCACCAGGGCCACCACTATCACTTCTACCAAATCTATAGCCACCTTGGCCACCACTCCAACCTCCACTGAACCTACAACCACCATGGCCACCACTTCATCTGAACCTACAACAACCACTACAGCCACCACTTCATCAGAACTGACTACCATAATAACTTCCAGCACTACCACTGAGGCTATAACCACTAAAGCCACTACTACAACTTCTACTGAACCTACAACCACCACAGCCACCACTATTTTCTCTACCGAATTTGCCGCCACAACAGCATCTGAACCAACCACCACAATAACTGCCAGCACTACCACTGAGGCTACAACTACTGCAGACACCAGCATAACTTCCACCAACCAAAAACCCCCACAGCCACCACAGCCACCACTATAACTTCTACTGAACTTACACCCAGCAGGGTCACCAGTATCATTTCTACTGAACCTACAACCAGCACTTCAGTCACCACGTCATCTGAACCTACTGCCACAACCACTGCCAGCACTACCGCTGACACTACAACCATCATGACCACCACTTACAACTTCTACTGAACCTGTAACCACCATGGCCACCAGTACAACTTCTACCAAACCTACAACCAGCAGGGCCACCACTACCACTTCTTTGGAACCTACAGCCACCACAGCCACCAGGGTAACTTCTACTGAACCAACCACCACCACAGACACAAACACATTGTCTCTACCAAACCTAGAACTCCCATAGCAGCCACCACAGCATCTGAACAGACCCCCAGAACTGCTGCTAGTGCCACCACTGACTGAGGCTACAGCCACCATGGCCACCATGACAACCTCTCCTGAACCTACAACTACCATGGCCACCACTAGTGCTTCTGTGAGACCTATAACCACCACAGAGCCACCACTTCATCTTAACTGACTAACACAACAACTGCCAGCACTACCACTGAGGCTACAGCCACCACAGCCACCACTACTACTTCTCCTGAACCTAGAACCACCATAGCAGCCACCATTTCATCTTAACCAACTACTGTGACACTTGCCAGTATGACCACTGATGCTACAATTACAACAGGTTCTAATGAACCTACAACCACTACAGTCACCATTACAATTTATACCAGTCTCCTGAACCCACAACCACAGGAATTGCCACCACTTCAACTGAACTGCAACTACAATGATGAGGAGTACTTCCACGGAGGCTGCGAGCACAACAGCCAGTACTGCTTCCCCTGAACAAGTTCTTTTTTATTGAAATATACACAACTAATGAATCATTGAACAAACTAATGATGTACTGTATGGTGGCTAACTTAACATAATAAAAAAGTGAAATATGTTGACAGATAACATTGTATCAATTTAATAATCACCATCAGTTCATGTTCTAGATCTCTAGACACTATGCTCTGCTCCTCAACTGATTTTACATTATTTGTCATAGCTACCTCCACTTCAGTGACTAAATCTAGTCTGTCTTCTGACTCAACTAAAATACTATCTTCAACCTCCACTGCCACCACCCCAAGTATAAATGGCATAAATACACATGCTACCAACTCAGCTGACTTCCCAATCACAACACCATAATGACTTTAGCTGAATGTATAATTCCAAAATCGACATTACCTGTTAATGGAAAGCGCAACCACAAATTTTAAGTCATCTACTCTCATGATACAGTTAGCAGGCCCCCCACCCCTTCAAATAAGTCCTTAGCCACAATAATAGCATTACATTCATAAAACATGCCAGCACCACATCTTCTACTGAAATTTCATGATAGAGAGCCCTGCATCAGTCAGTCCTACAGTCCAATACCATCCCTGTGCACCATCATTTCTGCAGTTCCATTTCTACTCTATGTACTAATACAACCGACAGAACTTCATCAAACCCTTCAGTGTCCTATCACCTGAATCTGTAAGCACTATAATTTCTTTGGACATGTTATTCAAAGTCATCCATTACTTATTCATCTGAACCAGTTCTGCCTGTGTTGGTAGTAAATCCAGTAAGTCACACCATCACTCCCACTTAACAAAAATGACAAATTCATAATGACCTCTTCTATGCAACTGTAGTTAGGTGCCTGCAAATTAAATCCTAACATCCACTATCATCACCCCACCCCAGAACCTATATCTGTTATTAGTAATTAAGTGATTTCATGGCCAATAATTGCCAACATATAACAACTACCAAAATAACCACTTTTAAAACAAGACTTACTTAATGATTGGTTCAACTATCATAATGATAATGAATTTTACCCCTAAAACAACACTTAGATTTAATATTACCATTTATTAGACCTGACCATTTAATGTAGAGAGTCTCTATTTTATTGAGTTCTTAGTACAATTTTCATGCAAATTTATGCTGGAAACCTGTTACGGTTAAATAAAAAGTTACTAAGTGTGAATGCAGTCTTTTATTATTCCAAACTTCTAGTCTTCAATACACAAATTCCATATGTAATAGAGAAAGGACATCTATATGGCAAAGGTATATTAAATACATTTGTGTATTACCACATTTTCTTTTTAGAGTGCATAAAATTATTTTCATTTCATTTTCTCTTTAAATCATTTTGATATTTAAGTATTTATAAATGTGTTATCACTGTTTCCAATTAAAAATTTATTTTCTACTCTTTTGAAGTAATCTTATGAAGGCACCCAATTAACTACTTTGAGTAAACATTTACTTGTGTCTGCTATCTGCTGAAATGCTGGAGAACAGTCATAAAAAGAAAATAGCAATGCAGATAGTAATAAACTTACAAATTTGGATTCTGTTATTTAGAATTCTTGGTAATTGATAGGCTTAAATCAATGTTGATGGTACTTGCGGAGGAGAAAATCACTAAAACTTGGCACAACCCATGAGACCTCAAGTTTAGCCCCTGCTTATCCTCCAAGCTTCATTGTGTGCTCATTTATGTAACACTGCTATGTCCTAGCCATGCTGTTTTTTAAACCAGTAAATGTTTCAAATATACAAAGGGATATAAAGAATTTTACATTGAACATCCATATGCCCATTACACATTCTAAGAGAGGAAATCACATGCCCTTTGGCTCCAGATCACGGGTGCAGGTGTTAAAGACCTATTTAGGAAGTTGCAGTGACATATTGCAACAACAGATGGTGCTGTGGTGCTTTTTTAAAAAACCTTTTACGCATTAAAAATTATCAGAGTTAACTTTTGCCTTTTAAGAAGTAGATTTCAAAAAAAAACCTGAACAATGAGGGACACGGTGAGTTGTCAAAATAATTAAGTCTTATTTAGGAGAAGAATTTGATGTATTTCATTTATCTCTTTAGAGAGCAGAACCAGGGTAAGCAGGTTGAAGTTATTGAGAGGAAGACTTTGACTCAACACAGAGAAGAATGAGGTGGCAGGAGAGTCAACCCAGAGAGGAGTATTGAACCCTGGAAAACGGATGAATTCCCGATTGCTGCAAGTGGCACACAGAGGCTGGAGTAAGATTTCACTTTCATTCATTGGAGTTTGACCTAAATGTCTAGGGTCCTTCTAACTCAAACATGATTACATGCATTTATTCACAATGAAACGTAACTATTATTTCAACAAACTTTTACATTTACAATCAAAAGTCAAATGTTACATGTGTGACAATCTGTGATAAGACTAGAATGTGAACTCTAATAGAACAAGTGCTTGTCTGTTACATTTATCACTGTATAAATCCCCATTGCCCGGAGAAATGTCTAGTAGTAGTAGTACATTCTCAATAAAACCCCCAATATTCTACCAATAAAAACACATCGGATGTTTTTAAGTAGACTTAGAATGGAATCTAGTATAATGTGGATTAGAGAAAAATCACTGATATGGATCAGACAGTTGCTTGTTTCTTTTTTTTTTTTAAGATTTTATTTATTTATTTGAGATAGAATGAGAGCGAGAGCGAGAGAGAGCACGAGTGGGGGGGAGGGGCAGAGGGAGAGGGAGAAGCAGGCTCTCCACCCAGCAGGGAGCCCAACGCTAGCTCCATCCCAGAACCCTGCAATCATGACATGAGCTGAAGGCGGATGCTTAACTGACTGAGCCACTCAGGCGCCCCCAGTTGCTTGTTTCTATTTTGAGTAGTACTAATAATATTGGTGGTCCAAGATGTTACATAACCTTTCATTAATTTTAATTTGTTGAGATGACATCTGTCATAGATATTGGGAATTGAATTAAAAAAAGAACCACCCTTATCTTTTATTATAATCACATAAGAGAATCTGTAAAACTTTCCTTTTTTTAAACTTCTACATGTAATGGTTTTATGCAAAGCAGTGATAGACTAAATACTAATTATGAAAGAGTTTTTGAAAATTTCTTTGCACCTTTGGTATATTTTCATAATGATTTTTTCATACATTTAAAGTAGTTGAATAAGGCAATTCAACTAACTGCACTATATTTTTAAACTTCTTGTCTAGTTTGTTATAATTATTAAATATAATATTACTGACTACACTGTATTTTTAAACCTCTTGTCTGGTTTGTTAGTTACTGTGTCAATCAAATAATAAATATGGATTAAAATTATCCTTTTCCCTAAAAATTGCCAAAAATCAGAGAATGTGGGGTGCCTGGGTGGCTCAGTTGTTAAGCATCTGCCTTCGGCTCGGATCATGATCTCAGGGTCCTGGGATCGAGCCCCGCATTGGGCTCCCTGCTCTGCAGGAAGCCTGCTTCTCCCTCTCCCACTCCCCCTGCTTGTGTTCCCTCTCTCAGTGTCTCTGTCAAATAAATAAATAAAATCTTTAAAAAAAAAAGTCAGAGAATGGACTGGACTCTGCCAGTTAGTGGACCAAAGGTGTTTTAATTGACCTCAGGCCATAGTGAAATTTAAGTTGAGTCTTTATGGTGGTTGAAAATAAAGCTATATGACATAGCATTAATAGGTGAATTTGAAAGAAACCACCAAGTTCTTTTGGCTAAAGAATGGCCAAATAAAAGCACTTTCACTACTTGATTAACTGACAAAGGTTTCCAAATTCTCGTGGCTGAGAATCCACCAGAGGTTGAGGGGTCTTCACAGGGCATATCCTTCACTATGAAATACACCCAGGGATAAAGCGTATGACTATGAACATGATTTGAAACAGCTGCAAGAGTCATCATTTTTACAACCTGAGATGCAAAAGCACCCCTGGCTGTTGGGCAGTGACGATCCTGGATTTACCCATACGCACCCGGCAGCTTATACTAAACCAAGTGTGTTCTACTCTGTCTTCTTGAGTAAGGTAGTAATACCTGCATAAGAAGTGTTCTTTGACAGAGATCATATGAGTTTCATGATAACTTATGTTTTCAGTATTTGGAAATGACGTCTCACAACTCTTTAATTAATTAGGCATTCTGAAAGTAGAACA